CAAATGTGCAATACACAGGTATATCTCGCACAGTGTAGTTGACCTTTTTAAATTTGCAGAAGGCTACCGGACTCCACTTGTCTCTGTCCTTGGTATAGGCCTGTTCTCTTTATCCATTTTCATTATAATGCATTGCTTCTAAAAGCTACCTAAATAAAAGATGAGCTTTAATTGATTAACTGTGTGACAATTATGCTGAATTACAAAAAGCAAGAGTAATTTATTCGTGTGCCAGCATTCACTGTTATCACCTTGTCATATTAATTTTAGGCATAAAGTGTTGTTTAGTGCAGTTACAAAGTCTTCCTCCTGGGACATTCCATTGATCTTCTCCAGTTCCTATCTAATCAACATCAGCCATAGCTTGTGTGTTTGCTCTTGTCTGAACTTGAAAAATGAGCACCTCCATTTCATACTCATGCAACATCTGAAAATAATAAATTTTTAAAATAGGAACTTTTCAGATATATATAATTACCTGTTCAAATGTTTAAAACTGAGAGACATTCATTATCAGCATTGTCATAGACAAATTATAAATGTTAGGGGAGGGGAACTTGTGACCGGCTTGCTCAAATGGTAGTCACAGTGTGTGCTCTACTTGTCATATCCCTTATATCTTAACAATTATACTGATTTGAAGGAGTGTAATTACTTACCCTTGAAAGCCCTCTTTTCCTGTATGCATATCTCGATGGTTTATCACTCACAATTTCACCTGACTGCTTGGGCAATTTCTGAATTCAGAACATGTATCATTGATACAGCGTCAGGTAATCATTCTTTCTCCATATTTGTCAGTAACTTTTACTTCAGAGGGTATCACGTAACATCAAATCTCAAAGTCGTAGGGTTCCATGAAGTCTTTACTTGTTTTTGCTTCTGCTGATTGCAGGAATAAATGAAAGGACATGTTAACATTGTTTGCAGAACTGCTTGTAAATAGGTATGCTGCACAGAAGTGTCCTTTTCCCTTTCGAACTCTCCCCATTTTCATGAAAACACGAGCAAAACTGATGTGCACACCTGTACCCATATGCTCTGTAAAATGGTGGACAGAGAACATGCTCACAGGACCACCTTCTCTGTGTCATTTCCACTTTAGCCTTGTATTCGAGGTTTTCGGGTTAGTCTTCAGGTGTGTATTTTCACAAATCCAGCGATATACTGTCCAAATCAAACACATTTAATATTTCGATCTCAGGTCATGTTTATTTGTTTATTAAGTGTCTAAAGATTATAAAAAACACCGTTACATTTCAGTCATTATGTAAAATTGCACCAATTGTACAAAAACCCTATTTTGGTCACTGCTGTCACAGTAACCATATAAGGAAAAACAAGTCACTTACTCTTAATAATATTCATGTTTTATTTGTTATCTTTAAAGTTGAAATTGTAACAATCAAAAAAACCAATACTTTGATTAAATAAATAATTTGGATGGCTTTGATACTCTATGACTTGTAAATGTTATTTTGCATATCAGTTTAAAAATTAATAAAAAAGTTTAAAGGTATTATCACTAGTACAAGTAAACAGTCCATGTCACAAACTAAGCTAAATAATTTTTACGAAAATTCAAATCCCTTGTAGTTGTGGTATGAATTGCTGTCTAATTTTCATACTGACGCAGGATGTGAGAATAACTCCAATTTCTTTCCCTGTACTCCCGATAGCCATCTGACTGTATGCATTGAACTGTGGTCTCCTGGAAATATAGATGCCTTTCATTCCCTCCTTCAATTTCTTCTTTTTCCTGTTCCGTTTCCTGTCACTTTTTTAGTCGTAGCCAGATATTTCAACAAACATTGTAAGCTTTCCTCCTCGCTATCGCCAGAGACACATTTCCAAATTGAAGCCATGTTGAAAATATGGCCAACTTTATGATGTCACTCACCAATTAACTTAGATCTCGGCTATTTGTGCGTTATTAATTTCCACCACTCCTCCTAGACCATAGGAGTTAGATGTTAAAACATTGGAAATTGGTAGACTTAACATCGTGTGTATGGACACTTTGGAATTTTAGTGCAACAGGGGCTTGGGCAGTCCCTTAGGGGGTGTTTGATTCTTAATTCTTTTGTCATTGTAATTTCATTTATTTATTTATTTACCTATTGAGAGTATAAACATGATAAATTAAAAATTTATCTTCCCCACAGCCCTCATGAGGTTTGTAAATTTACATAAATAAAACTATTTGAAAAATTAAAAATTGTGTTAAGACCATTAAATGAACTGTAAAACTTATAAACAAAAAGGATTATTAAAAATAACAATAAAACATATACAGATTTAACAATAACAACAGTAACAATCCTCTTTTGAATAAAATTTAAATTGGCTGATTTAAAACTTTTCAAAGTTTTTAAATTTTGAATGTCATTATGAAGATTATTCCATAAAAGTATAGAGCTCCAAAAGGTCTTTGTGATAGCAGCCTGGCAAATATAACTGCTCTTTGGTTGAAATCTTGTTTGTCTCTTTGTAACATTAGATAAAATATTATTAAATAAAGTACTCATGTATGTAGGTGTTAAATCATTTCCAAACTTGTATATCATTGTAAATTTCCTTGAATCTATTTTTTCATAAATGTTGAGCCAATTTAAGTTTTTTAAAAAGATTAATAGAGGAGTGGCTTTTGCCTGTTTCTGATGTATAACTAGTATTAACCTAGTAGAACGTTTCTGCCATTTATATAATTCATAGATTTTCAGACTACTGTCCCATACAGGGGAATAGTAGTCTAGGTGAGGGGTTACCTGTGCATTATAGAAAAGTTTTCTCGTTTCTACTGGCAGATAGGTTTTGATTTTTCTGAAAAGTGGGAGTTTACTGTCTACTGTCTTTCTAATTTTCTGTATATTCCATCTGAATATTGAATATTCCATGATAGGTAATCACATGTAGTCCCTGGTAGTTTTTCAGAGCTCACATTGTCAGCCAGTTTTCCATTAAAAGTCCATTGTTATTTTTTACTGTTTTCAGATAAGTGTTCCCATTATTGACTCAAAGTAATTAGCATACATGTAGTTTATTTTAAACACTGTCGACATTTTGTTATTTTCACACCATGTTGTAAAATTTTTCACATCAAAGTTTAGTTTTTGGTTTAGTTCAGAAGTTGTTTTTATCATTTTATGTGAACAACCACAGAGTTTGCAATTTTAAAGGGGCAAGGTGGTCTGAAAAAGTGGACCTTTTTTCCACAAAACTTTCATGTTCCTTGAATAAATTTTAACCCAGAGCAGACTTTCAAAATGAGACCCCTCCCCCTGGCCTGGCAACGGGCCCAATTAATAAGTCACTGGTGGCCAGTCCACTAAATAAATATATCCCAGCAGTCCTGGCAAAAAGTGCATACCTATGAGCCACAATAGAAATGACAGGTACATTTCACTTCTAGATAACATCTTGGATTTCATTCCTTTTTCTTCCTTTACAAGAACGATTGAAAACTTAACAACTGACAAAGAGCTGCAGCATGCTGAATCCGTTCACTGGCCTGACTGGCTTGAAAACTCAGTGAGTGTGGCAGATGATATATTTGAATGCTTGAAACAAGACAAAAAAAATCAGTTGCTCTATTTTGATGTTTGCTCTAAGTGTAAGGCCAAAGAAAAATATAATTTTAGAAAATAATTTATTAGTTGGATTGATTGCACCATACAAATTGTTTGAGTAACTACCATAACTGATGCACATAATAAAAATTGGTGTTGGTAGTGTTGTCAAGCATTATGTAATATCACATCAAAAATGAAAAAAATATATCTAATTTTTATTTATTTATTTATTTATTTATTTATTTATTTATTTATTTATTTATTTTTGCTTTTATGTTTTAAAATGATAATATTATTATTAGTATTTGCATGGAAGGCTTTGAAGATGTAAAGGATAATTTACTTGGACTATTGGTTGCTAAATAAAAGGAAATTGATGTGAACTAAATTTCCTGTAAACAGAATAAAGTTACATGTGTATGGTCATAATTTTTAAGAAGTGGGGAAATGAGATATATATATCTAATTTTCTTGCTTGACCTGATTAATAAACTGACAGAAAACAGTGTAAAGTTAACAAGGGAGAGAACATATCTGAAGGAAATAAACTGGAATGAAATAAGAAATACAGTATATATATATATATATATATATATATATATATATATATATATATATATATATATATATATATATAATAAAAAGAAAAAACTAACATCAGCTATTTTGCCCCGACCGTTTTCATTCTTTCTTCAGGGGGTTTTGTTTCTTTGTTACTAGGTGATGTCATAAAGGCTAAAATGTGACATCTGTAACAATGGGTGTTTAATTGTTGCTTTTACCAATGCTATTATCTATTCAATGTAGGTTTATACTTATTAATGAATAGATTTTCTTTCATTTCCCTTTCTGTTTGGGTTGTTTCCCTACATTGAATATTTTAGCCTTTATGACATCACTTAGTAACAAATAAACAAAAACCCCTGAAGAAAGAATGAAACCGGTCGGGGCAAAATAGCTGATGTTTCTTTATAATATATATATTATATACTCGTACAGGAAAAACACTTTTACGTTATATATATATATATATATATAGAGAGAGAGAGAGAGAGAGAGAGAGAGAGAGAGAGACAGAGAACACAAAAAGTGAATAAAATAAATTAATTATTCTGGAAATGAATCCATTGTATGTGGTCATATTACAGATAGTTACTTACATTTTCTTTCCCTTGCCAAATCTTTGACATGCTTTATCAGGACATCTGTTGCTTAGTTTTGCTTAGCTGTCTGTGTCTGTGTAAAGAAAAATAAAATCTATTGTATCTCAGTGTAAGAAACCAACTTCATGTTGAAGAGTGCAAGGCACATTAATTCCATTTCCATGTTTTTGGATTACATGTTCTAATATAAACATTTTGCAATTTGGAAAATAAGATCTGTGTCAAACACATTTCTCCACAGAAGATTGGCTGATTTACTGTTGGAATGGAAAGTAGAAGTGTGCTAGATGTGCTTATTGTTTCAGATGGAGTCCAACACACTTGTCTTGTATGTGGAAAAGATACTTTCTCTGAGGAATACCTGTCAAAATGCTCAAGCTCCTCTGCAGATGCTGAACAGATTTTAAAGAAAATAGCAGAGGCAAAGAAAGAAAAAGGTATTCTTATTGCGAAATTTAGTATTGCTAAAGTAATACCTTATATATTGACAAAACTTAAGCAGAATGAAATTATTGCACCAAAAAATTGTGTTATCTTGTAGATGTGCAGGATTTAATTAAAACATCCTGTTTAGACATTTTATAGTCTAACAGCTTATTTTTCACTGTTAGGATGAATAAGTACAGTATTATGAGTAAGGTTTGTTTTTTTTGTGTTTTATTACCTCCATCCGAGATAACTGGTTTAGTGTTTAAATTACCATCTGGACTGGGAAGTGACCATACCTTTCATAAATAAATACTTTGAAACACATCCAGATAGACTATTCTGTAATGTCAGTTTTATTTGCTTCTTCTAAAGGCCCCTCATCTTTTTATTCAGACTTCAAGATGGTACTGGAGCTATCTGGGCACTGTCTTTCTGAGGTCAGTGACCACCTGCACCCTATGCACATCTTAATGATCCGATTACATGACAGTGCATTTGATGCATGTATAGAGTTACAGAAGTGGGACCTAGCTCTGGTGTATGCCAGTAAGACAACAGAAGCATACAGGTTAGAAGGGAAAAACCATTTGGAGTAAATTTAAAGGCCCACATTATATTGGGCTATGCCTGAAACTGGTAGCATATAAATATTCAGTTGTCAGGTATATATTACTTTTTTAAAAAGTTTGTAAGCTTCTAACTTTTTAAAAGTTTAAAATTGTTGAAGCACATTTATATCATTCTCTATCCTTACTTGCAGAATGACAGAAATCAGTGGATTTTCATGGCTTTTTTTTATAATATTGTAGAAATGAATTTTTCCAGGGAATTTTATGCGGCATATCATCCAAATCTTGGTATTCACTTGATGAAGATTGGTAAAATACAACAATATCTTAAACAGCTTGAACCAGCGTTGAAGAATCTTCAGCAGGTACGTAATTACTTAAATATTTCAACTTCCAAGTGAGTATATAAGGATAAGTAAACATAGTTGACAACAGGTGTTATTTAAGGGACTGCTTGCTGTTTTTTTTGTTTCCATGTTCATCAATGTTTCCACAATTTTTCCAGGCTGAAGACATTTTGCATGTGAGTCATGGAAAGGGCCATTCTTTGTGCCAAGATCTAAAGATACTTTTAAAGCAGTGTGAGGAAGAGCTAAGAATTCAGCAAGGGAGAACATAACATTATACAGAGTCCTCATGTAAACTTCTATTTCTCTAAATATGGATTTTTCAAGAAAGCATGGTTGTTACACTACTTTTCAGATCAAAACTGAACATCTTAAATTTTAATTTAAGGGTAATTGGAGAGGGAGAGAGAGAGATTCAATTAAAAAAAAATTAACACTATTGAGGTACTGTGAACATACATTTTATTTCACCCTGCTGTTCATTTTCCACATAAGACTAGAAGATGTAAATAATTTGATATACAAGTATCTGTAATACCAGGGCCAGAGATATCGAGTGAAGTTGCTTTCTACTTCAGGTCAGTAATTTTGGCATTTCTTAATCAGAAAACTGCATTCAAATTCACACATAGTACTGGCTGGGTCAGCCCAATTCTGTGGATTCTCACTTAAGGGTATTGTAACCCTTTGTTATAAACCAAATAACAAAAATGATTTTTTTTTTCCTGTATTTAATAATACATCTTTCTTTGTGCCGATTTTAAACAATGAAAAAGTCCTCAAAAATATAAAATCTTAGCGTTTATATTTTTTCAATGCAATGTTTAAGCATAGGGATCTCGAAGCTATAATCGTCAATTTAACCTTTCTATTTTGAGGCGAGATAGCAATTGGTATGAGTTGGACCAACCCAGCTACTACAAAGTTAGCTTGAATGTGCCAATAGTGACCTCTATATCATGAGACCCCGTTTGAAAACTTATTATAGAAAGGAGATGGAAGTTGGCATATAAATTTGCTCCTTAGAGCAATGCTATTTTAAGTAGCTATACATATCAAGTATCAATAAATAAACCAATTTATCACTACCATGAACAGGGTGTAGTAGGGGCTTTCCTTAAAAAATATAATGCAGTTAAGGGCATTTCTTTTATTTCTTTACTCTACAGTATTCTAAATGTAAATGTATTTTGGAAAAATTACAAACTTGTGAAATTCTAGCACCAAGATGTTATTTGCACTCTATGGCACAACATACAATACAAAAAGTGTAGAGTACAAATGGCGCCAGAAATACATTGCCTCCTCTCTTACTTCTTTCTATGCTTACCTATATAGCTAACAATTTGAAAATCCTGACAATATTGGCCAAGTGTGAACTCTACCACATTACCAGCAAAATATCTTAATATATATCTACTGAACTATATACATCACAGATTTCAAATACATTTCCAAAAGGAATGGTCTACAATTTTGACAGTAAGGAGGCTATGTGTTAACAGATAATTTTAACTTTTTACTGACCTAAGCAAATGTCATGTCTAAGCTACAAATTCCTTGCTCTTTAATACCAACATGTATATTTTGTGGAAAAAGTTTACAATTCATTGGTCAGGTAAACAATATTTCTACATAATTTTACACTTAACATAGAGACACACAAACAACATATGAGTAATATATCTAAGGTGGGTAAAGTATGGCTATAACTGTGATTATTGATTAATTCTACCTTACGCGCGGAATACAAGTAATTCTTTATTCAGTTTTATGTGCTAAATCATCAAGTTTCAAACAAAGTGTGGATTTGGTTTCAGTTTACTCTGGGTATTGATAACTTGACGTCTTCTTAATTATGTATCACCTTAAAATTCATCCAATTCCAAACACCCAATGGTTCACTGGGCCCCGATATCAGACTTCAAGCCATCTCATCACTAGCATAAATCTATCTCTAGTGTGCTTCCACACTGCCCTTTGTTGGACTCACTCTAGCATATTTTAAACAATTAAATGTACAGTTTCAGCCACACCAATAATTTGCCAAATGATTAACAGTTGAACATAAGAATTGAAAATTTAACATTTTCCTCTGCCAAAATGGTTATCAACTTCAATTTCGCCGGCTAATGTGAGCCCAGCTCAGGTGATGAAACATCAGACAGCACAAAAGCCATGATAAGCTCAGTGCTAATAGAGGGCAGTGTAAGCATGCTGAGTCACATCTACTTATCTTTTATTTGAGTCTTTGACTCTTTAAAATGTCACAATGAGCTTTTACCATTTCTTCTTATGCTCATCCATGCTGACTCCTCCAGGACCTAGAGCAACTACAAGTAACAATCCTCCAACTACAGACATGGTCTGGAAAAAATCATACTTCAGGAAATCTCTCATTGGCTTATAGTCTGGGATAGTCCACCAAGCATTGAAATAAAGATTCATAGAAGTGAGCCATACAACTAGGACCAGGGCAGCCAACTTTGTCTTGTAACCTACAGCAATTAATCCTATCAAGAGCAATCCAATCAAATTCTGAACTATGTGGAGAAATGAGAACTCAAAGCGTAGAAGTGTCAGGAACATGAGCACAAGGAGAATGCGACCACTAAACTGCATGTATGTCTTAGAAGTATTTTCCCCCATGGATGGAAGACCAGCAAACAGGCTTTTACCCTCTGCCTTGCTCTCAGCTAACAGTAGTATCACGCCTCCTGCCAAAGCCAGGTTTCTGAAATTAATTTAACATGAAACTGAATACAACGTTAAATAAAACAAACAAAAAAATTTCAAAAAGTGGTGCATACCATCAGTGTTGGAAATTATCCAAGTCCATGTCTGGTAACTTTTGGGGTAGATGGATAACTATTTAAAACAACACGCCCTGTGGTCAGGTTACTTATGAGAAAATGATGAAGCAATTGTCAGATTCACAGTTTTTGTTTTTAGATGTTAATTTAAAAAAAAAAAAAAAAAAAAAACTGGCAAATATACAGACACCATACAGGAAACAAGGCAGCAAAGCTGTAAAATGTTCAGATATTATGCAGAAAAAAATGGACAAAATAACGTTTTCGCCAATTTTGATGCACTGTTACACACTTCTTTAAATAGTATAACCACTGAAAAACTAGTGATTCAGTTCCATGGGATATAAAGGCCATTGAAAATGTAAATGTGTGAAAAATGAAAATTTCACAAAATTAAAAAAAGGAAATTATTATCGTAAATGTAAACTGATCATGCCTCTTTAACAAAAAGAGCCACTCAGTAAATTGAAAGTAATACAAAAATACTATTTGAAAGTTATGGGGCAAACATTACCAAAATTGTGATTAAAAAATTATAATAATTACTGTAAATGTAAATCGATAAAGTTAATTTTTGAAAGCAGCCTGCTTCTTTACCAAACAAAGCCACTCAGAAAATTAAAACAAAAATACAGTTTGGAAGTTATGGTGCAAATGTCATGTATCACAAATTGACAAGGGTGCATTCAACGAGCGTCACGCCCAGGCCAGTGTCAAATCTTCTTCCAGAATGGAAAAAAAAAATGGATTGGCCGTGTTATCAGTATTGCATATATGAGGGGGAAAAAAATCATGCTCATTTTTTAACTTTACTAGTTTTTTAAATGAATATTCATCAGTTCTATAAGTTTGAAGACAAATGGTAAACAGTTTTTGACTTATCTCGTTGTCAATGAAAGTGTAGGGCGACAGTGAGGACTGATACAGGTGACGGCTACATGTACAGACACAAAAGTAGGACTGATAACTTTTGGGCAGGACTGGTAACTTTTGGAGTCTAGCTGGCATTTTCCAGGAATTTCCAACAATGATATCATGTTCTCTTCTTGATAGTATTTGTATGATAGGTGAAAACACATCCGAGATCACGCATCTTCAATAACATTTCATATCATGATGAATATTTTACAAAGTTTAGTAAGGAAACTGTTTCTGATAGGAAAATGATAGTAATATGGTGAACTTCCCTCAAAAAGAGCTGACTACAAACAAATCTAAATCAACATTCCAACTTACCTCATAAGAAATCTCACATCCCACAAAATGCTATATGCTATGGTCTGGAAAATAAAAACAAAAAGGATCAAAGTGAATCTTTGCCTTTGAAACAACTGAATATTTAAATGTATGTTTTATGTATCACAATATGTTTTAATTAAGAGTCTGCGTAAATGTATATATATTTTGTATCTTCAAAATTGCACAATTGCAGCACAATACCAATTGCAGCAAAAAGTACTTTCCCACAGAGTTTGTTTCTACATGGGCCAAGGACTTATTGAGCAACTTCTGCTCCCACACACAAAAAGCTCCTGCTTCCTGCTAATGTGGATCATTATGTGAATATTGTAAATCTTGGCATTTTGAAAAAAGGGTGCTATGAGTATTGCTGCAAGAACAATGGAACTAATGAGAGAAGAGAGACTAGGATGGGCTGTGAGGTGTGTTGTAAGTGATTACGTCCTGGTGACTGTCATTTCAAATGCCACAGATACAGACATGAGAATGTGATTTTATAATTCCTTAATTCCTGTATGAGAAAAACTTTGACCAGTTTAGAATAGCAATGAGTCAAATGGTAACAGAATCAGCACAAGTTCAGCAGAGACGTTTTCAATTCTTATTTTGTGAGTCCAATTGAGAAAAATCCATTTTTTTGTTTTGTTGATGAAAATATGCAAATTAGCTCATTAATATGCAAATGTGAAAATTGTCATCAAAGAAATAATGAAAACTGTTGCAATCAAAATATAATTTTGTTCAAGCCTGTTCAGAAAACATTGTTTTCTCTTGCAGCAAGTACTTGAAAAAATGAAACATTTTGACAATATTTTTGGGGAACATACACCCCATCTCCATAGATTTTTAGATCGATCTCTCCCTGTAGGGAGTCTCACTAGATTACTGTCAGCTTGACCGGCTTAAACATCTGTCCCACCTACTAAAAGCTGTGAGGGGGTTATTAACTATGTGCCCGCTCGGCTGACTGCAATTTAGCGTAAACCCCCAGGGAGTTAGGTCGATCTAAATCTTAATCTTTCGATCGATCTAAATCTCTGGGAAAGCACCCATACATTACCTAGTATTAGCCATGATGCAAAGCCTCTTGAGTTACAGTTTAAATATTTAGAAACACATCTTTACGTCATGTCTAATTTACCATGACTGAATCACTACAAAATATATCAGAACATGGTATAAAAATTAAAATTAAATGACCCCGAACATGCATTACCGTACATTTTTGGAACATACGTTTCCATTTAAGGCTTTTTGCGTGATATGAAAGACTTGGTAAAAATTAAAATATGAATTTAAATTGAGACAGTTGTGGATTTTTGTTCTATACATGTTTTAAAAATTGAATACAACTTTGAATTTATTCAATATTTTATTTTTGACACTAAAGCATGTGAAATGCACCTCTATATTGGGTTTGGGTGTAAGTATCTGTACATATGATAATTTTCTGTGCAGGGGCTCCTTACCTGCAGTGCAATAATTCCCCATAACAATCCACAGGCTATGGGCACCTGTTGCCTGCTGAGCACCATGATACAACCCCCAAGCTGTCCAACCAGATTAATAACGACAAATAATGTCCCTATGAACCAGCCACATCCCCAGGTCGCACTGATGTAGTCCCGCTGCTCGTTCCATTGACACCACATTCTGATGCCATCCTCAAGGAAAGTGCTTATCAGGCACAATCTTGCAACATGTGGTAGGACATGTTTCCCATGACGTAATACCTAGAAAATAAAAAAAATTATTTTTACAGTAATGTACCAAGCATTTCCACTGGACCAATCAATCAGACCTAATTAATTATATTATAAAACTAGAGGATCAGAGAGGCGATACCGCCTCCGGATATTGTACCACCAGCTGGAGTAAGCANTTCTCTACACTCAAACATTTTGTCCAAATGTCAAAATCATGCGACACAATTTATTTTCTTGTTCTGATTGTTCAACCCCACTGTCAGCAAGACTCGGTAAATTTTCAAGCCAATTGTTAATTGTTGTCCTTTCAAAAGCTCTCGTCAATAACTCTTGTAGATATGAATTCTATATTTCACAATAAAAACATTGTGAATAACTCATAGAAATGAAAAAAAAGGTCTGTTCTGGATGAAACCAACTATCAGCAGTGGGTAGGATATGTCATAAACACCTTCATATATAGACCATTTATAGAATTTGCTAACAATAAAAATTTTGGGAGGAATAAGCAATTTTATTTTCAAGTTCGATTGAAATATATATGCAGATGGGGAAACGTTCTTGAAGTCAATACCGCAAGTTCTACATTTACTACAATCGACTGAAAGATCAGCAAGATCGACTGCCCAGACTTCTTGGCGCCAAATGCCATGCGCTGTCAAAATCTGAAAATGATAGACGTAAGTGAGGAAAATAATTTGATAAAAATGATGAATTGTCCTCTGTTTGAATCTCAAGTAATGTTAGCACATATTGTACACAACAGCAAAATACGATTTCAAAAGGAGGATAAAGCGTGCTTGAAACACGTGTTAGGTGAAAATTGCAGCTTATCTTGCATGACACTTCAGGTAAAATGCAATACTTCTGGTAAGATGGACGTTTTGGCAGATGCCCCAAACAATCCAACAATATCAAAGGTTTCCATTGCTTTATCTTATTCAATTCGACCAAAATGACATCTCCATGAAATTAATTAATAAATCTTGGTCGAATTATTTAGCATATTACCGTAAATACTGAACTCTTGGGAGCCTGTTTGCACACTTTTTAAAAAAATGCTCGTATACAAGAGGGTTTGACATATGTGGGTCTGTCCACAGTGAAATGACAAAAAGGGTGTGTGACCAACAAACCTCTTATTTTCATCAAATGTGTTAAAAACAGCATAAATTGTGAAAAAAATGACCTGATCAAGCTGATTTTCAAACTGTGTTTTATGAATAAACATCAGTTCCATGAGATTGAAGACAAAATATTTAACTGTTTTCCACTTGTTGTGATATCACTGAAAGTGCACAGACGGCTACACGGCAGGTGACAGCTATATGTACAATGTACTATACATATATATCAAGGGACATACAAGGCAGCAAAGCTGTCAAATGTACAGACAAAAAGCTGTCTATCTACCAGTTTGATTGTCGTAAAATCATACACCCGCTATAAACAGACGAAAACCAGGTCAAATCTACTACACGTGGTTTTCAAATCTACTACGCGAGGTTTTCATTTCCCATTTTTTGAGGCCTTTGCTTTCATGCGTTAGCACAGACAGTACATATCAGAATCGTCAATAGGAGTGCTAACGCATGAATTTTCGTGCTAGTCTAGAACCAGTGATTATAACATTACACACATTACCATAAATACATTGTAAATAACCCACAGAAATATAATAAATTCCATTTTACCACCAAAAACAGCATTAATTATTTTGAAATCTGTGCTTGTCATCAAACTACATCCATATGACCTCCAGAGTTTGCTACCCTCTGTGATAATCTCTTATAAGTTTTTTCAAAAAAAAAAAAAAAAAAAAAGATTAAGCGTGCATAGGAACATGTAAATTCACGTTTACTTAGTTCGTTTGTTTTCACCTTCGTGTCTTAAATACCAACAAAACATACAATAATATAGCCAGGTGAATGCACTGCCATATGAAATGGATGGTCCTCAGTACGGTGTACTGCGAGTGGAAAAGAAACATTTTACGCTCCCACACGCTACTACGTATGTGTAAAACTGCATATTGAAACAGACAATCCGAACATTAATCAGCCCTTACCTGATCTGCAACATCCTCTGCTTTGCTCATGAGTTCCTCCTGCTGCCGTGACATCTTGACACGTCTGTTTCACCGGATAGTAGCCACGTCTATATGCAACATGCACTGACACAGGAAGTGCCAAGTCCGAAAGCTTCGTGGTCATGCTAATTATCGAACGTACTCCCTCTGATATAACAATTTTATGAACAAAAATTACATTTTTTCACTTTGTTAAGATTACTTTTTAATTTTTTATGTAAAACATCTTATTTTATAAAATATATATCGTGCATAATATATTCTAATAGCAACCAATTGAGTTTAGAGAGCGCAGAAATTAATTAAGGTCGGGGAGGTTATTTGATGGAATAACTAAATGCCACGTCCGCAGAAACGGTATTTCGTTATAATCATTCGGCAAATTTCGGTTAGTTCCGTCTACATCATGGCGGCCTCCGCAGAGCTGAACGTTGCGAGAAAGAAATTAGCCGAAGCTTTAGGGGACAGCATAACATTGTGAGTTCGAAGGGAGTCACACAAGAAAAAATTAAAAAAAGGTTATTTTAAAAAATAAAAACGGGCGTTTCTTTCAAGGATTTTGTACTAAAATAGGAAAAAGTCTATGTTTATCAGACCCGGGCCTCGGTTCCGTCGTGGTTTTCTTCGTAGCTGTCATTTGTTTCAGTTAGTGACACTTACAGGTTTCATTGAAAAATATTTCATGTTATGGAGCTTACAAAACAAAAATGTTGATATTTTTGTGGCTCTAATGTCGAATTGGTTGACGCATAATTATCAGGGGTTTTGCAGTACCCCCCCCCCCCC